GTGCTAATACGTGCTATTTCGTAAGGGAATTGTCCTACAGGATTTATCACCGATAATTTAACCACGTGGACGTTTGTTCACAAAAAGAAAGTACCACTGCCTGTAGCAGTGGACCACTAAAATATGTTGCATGCGTATTCATCCAATCTAGTCGATTGGAGCGGGTCAGTCTGTCTGTAATCTGGTTGATTGGATGGAGTCAGCAGAATTGCAAAGTGTGTGCGATACGTTGCAGATGCACTTTTCAGCAGCATGGACCGAAGAGCTGGAGATCAAGTAAAGCGCCTAGTACTTCGCCCTCACTTCGAAATACCCTTCGCGTTAGCAACCCGCACGATTTGTGACCTCCCGAACAATGGTTTTGGATCAACCCACCCATCGTCTTCGACCGCTAAAGTCCGTATCGCTAGATCCCGAGATAAACCCCTCGGGTCACCGAGTCGCGCTGCAACAGCTTAAGGCAGTTCGTTCGATTCGCGTTGAATGTCAGAAAACAATCACCACAGTTCGGTATGCGGTCGAAGTGGTTCAAAGTCGGAGCTGCCCACAAACAAATTGCATCACGAGGATTCCAATTGCGACTGCAGACAGCGGGGCGTCAAGATTTCAAGATGGTTCACAGTCACGAATAGTCCAGATCGAGCGAGAGTTGCACGAATTCATCGCCCTGCGCTGGAGCACTTACGCATTGTGTTGGAGCGCCTCGCCCGTTATGATGTCACTCTTAACGGAAAGAAGTGCAATATACTACGCGAAGAAGTCGACTACCTGGGTTACACGCTCTCTGCTGAAGGCATCAAGCCCCAGGCCAAGAAGATACAGGCGATCCAGGAAGCAGTGCCAAGGAACCGTAATGAGCTTCGGCGCTTCTTGGGAATGATCAACTACTTCAGGGACATGGTGCCCAACAAGACCACGTTGTCCAAGCCGCTGCACAGGTTCACGAGCAGTAAAGTGCCCTTCACGTGGCTCCCCAATGACACGGAAGCCTTTTGAGCAATCCAGAGACCCTTCGCTGAGTCTGTACCGCTGTCGTTTCTGGACTTCGACAAACCATTCCAGCTCAATGCAGACGCGAGCGGCACCCAGCTCGGAGGCCTAATAATGCAGGAGACAAAGATCCTCGCTTGCTACTCCAAGACCTTGAATAAGCATCAACTCAACTACACGACAATGGAGTTGGAACTTCTCTCTGTTGTAGAGCTACTTAGAGAGTATCGTACGATGCTACTCGGCTTTCCGGTGATCGTGCACACGGATCACAAGAATTTGATCTACCCCACTGAGACGAGCCTGCGGGTCAAGCGCTGGAAGTTGTTGCTCTCAGAATACCACCTATCTCTTCATTACATTAAGGAAGTGGAGATCGTGGGAGCCGACGCGTCCTCGAGAATGAGGTTTGCAGTGAACGAGTACAAGACACTGTATGAGGAGATCTACGCAGCGAGGAGCGAGCCTGAGTGCGTCATGCACGAACATGTAATCCGCCAGCACCAGGAAGCCGACGAGATGATCCAGCAGATAAAGGCTGCGTGTTTGGCAGGGAGCAACAACCCCGACTACCAGCTCGTTCCGCTGTTGGGCTGTACCCTGGTTGCATACCAGAAGCGCGTACTCGCAACAGAAAGCCTGCGTGACGACCTCATCGCTTGGTATCACCGCAACCTGGGGCATCCTGCCCGCGAACGGCAGTTCAAGACAATGCGGCACACGTTCTATTGGCCGAGTATGGAGTCCACTATCGCCAGGTTCGTCAGGAAGTGCGTGGCCTGTAAGCGCGCCAAGCTTCACGGTGGACTACGGGCTTCTCCTGTAACGGGGTTACACGCAAGTGGCTACATGTAGCCACTTGATTACGACAATGGGTTTCACATTGGTGTGAGATACACCAATAGTTACATTTGACAGACCACTGGTCTGTGTGCATTTAGACTTTT